TCCCGAGAGCAGATGCAACAAGACACAGAAGCTGGGCTCTTCGTAGAGCACGCAGCAGTGCATGGCAACCTTTACGGAACTTCCATGGCAGCTGTGCAGGCTGTGACAAGGCAAGGAAAGGTTTGTCTGCTTGACATCGACGTGCAGGGCGCGGAATCCGTGCGCCGATCAGCGCTGGCAAGTACATGCTCCTTCGTGTTCTTTGCCCCTCCAACTGCAGCAGTTCTGGAACAACGACTGCGCGGCAGAGGGACTGAGACTGAAGAGAAGATCCAGAAGCGGCTGGGGAATTCTTTGAAGGAGCTGGCAATCTATGAAGCGAAGCCCGATGCATGGGACCTAACCCTGCAGTGGTACAACGAGCAGGTGGAGGATGCATACAAGGAATTTCGGAGTTTCCTTGTGGACCAAATTCATTCCAACCCAAAACTTGTTAAACAGATTGCTACAGTACGCCGGGCTCCTGCATTCAAGGGCGGCGCATGTGTGGGGTCCTCAGTTACAGATGGAGGCTTTTGTTTTTCTGTGACGTGTGGTCCATCACCGGCGTAAATCCACGTGCGGCCTTGCATTCCCCAGCATCTGAGGTCATCACAGGTCCAAGCGGTGTTGGCAAGTCCACGCTGATCAAGAAGCTAATGGCAGAGTTCCCAGATCACTTTGGCTTTTCCGTGTCGCACACCACGCGCGAACCTCGTCCGGGCGAGCAGGCCGGAATCGACTATCACTTCGTTTCCCGAGAGCAGATGCAACANNGTAGAGCACGCAGAAGTGCATGGCAACCTTTACGGAACTTCCATGGCAGCTGTGCAGGCTGTGACAAGGCAAGGAAAGGTTTGTCTGCTTGACATCGACGTGCAGGGCGCGGAATCCGTGCGCCGATCAGCGCTGGCAAGTACATGCTCCTTCGTGTTCTTTGCCCCTCCAACTGCAGCAGTTCTGGAACAACGACTGCGCGGCAGAGGGACTGAGACTGAAGAGAAGATCCAGAAGCGGCTGGGGAATTCTTTGAAGGAGCTGGCAATCTATGAAGCAAAGCCCGATGCATGGGACCTAACCCTGCAGTGGTACAACGAGCAGGTGGAGGACACCCTGTCAGGGTTTGCGTTGCTGTCCTTGATGTCTCCTGTGCTTGCGTGCAGAGTGCCATTGCCAGGACGCATACGCAGAACTTCGAGCCTTCAGTATCCATCAGTTACCCGATCAAGGCTGAAGTCTCACCCTGATCAGATCGTTAATGAAATCTTCTTAAGGTCCGTGAACGCATTTCGTTCAAAGAGACCTTTTGCGTGGAACGCAGAAGGCATTGAGTAGCATGTGTTGGTATTAATGGATAGGGTGCCTGACATCTTCTGCTGTTCTGACATGGCATGGCATGCGACGAAGTCGCCCATGCTCGGTTAATGCCTTCGCCGATTGGTCTTGAAGCTGGGCCCAGCCTAGGGCCTAGGGCCTAGGGCCTAGGCGGGAACTGCTGCTTACCAGGTCTGCTCGACGAAGTCAACAAAATTGCCCAGCAGCTCTCCAGCTTAGCATAGCTTAGCAGAGCGCTTCACGATGGAGGCCAGGTGGCATTGAAGAGTGACGGGGTGACCACCGAGCGCATTGCCTCCTGACCCGCGGCTCGAAGCTGTTGATGACAGTCACATCCAGCATCATGACCTTCACACAGGCCTGGGGCAAGTTGGTTCTGTTACATTTGCAGTTGACACGACGTAACCTCGGGTGCTTGCTGGGTGTCCGATGGAGCATGTGCAGGCAATCCTTCTTTTTTCAAACTTGCCGGGTACGTAGGGTCTATGAGCTTCTTTGTTGTTTGTCATTTTTTGGCAGAGTCTTCTAAACCCTGAACTCAAAATTCCACATCTCCAATTCTCGGTCTGCAAGCACCCGCGCTTGGAGTAACCCCTACCAGTTGGGCTGTGTTTCTACACAAACATTCTGTACACTGAGGGCATGGTCAAGGGCTGAAATGCGCTTGACGATTTCTTGCAGCACATCCGAAATCAGAAATCGTCAGCCTCAGATAGAAACCCAAACGATCCGCGCACTTGCCCTGTGTGGCGGAACGTCATTTGCGGCTTAATGCGTAGCGGGAGACCGAAGAGGTGTTGGCAAACAATCCTTTGCCAGCATGCATGTTGCCCAGCGTTATGTCTCTGTGAATATTTCCGCCCTAAATCAGAAACCAAGTGAGAAGACCATGTTTGTGGCAGCGTTTGATGCCGTCAATGTGGGAGAGTCTATCCATCAGTTGCATCACCTTAGGCATTCCAACGCTGCCTGCTTCCGAAACGACCATGCAATGCCATTTTGAAGAAAGGACCATCTTGGAATCTGTTGCACATTGTGACCATATGAAGCCTAAAAATCTTCGTGCCAGAAGTTTGCATAGCAATGGGGCCGCATGGAACATCTATACGCGCAAATCTCACGGGAAACTTGACTGGAACTGAGACGCGACTCCAAGCGCCTGGCCAAACTTTCCCAAGTTCCGTCCTAGCAGGTGCGCCGAAATGTTCGCAACCAAAAGAGTGGAAGAGTAGTCCAAGTCACGAGCATGGTTGGTGCTAACCCATCAGGTGCACCCATCACCAAACCAAAGCCTGGACAAAGATCACAGGATGACAGAAATACAGCATACACATTGTCATTGAAAATCAGACTTGGCTCAAGAGCTGCCTACGATCTCAAGTCATCGCTTCCGTTGCATTTCCCAAGGTACGTGCATGTAAGCCTCAGCATGTGCACCACTAAACCTCCAACCAAAAAAACTTTGGGGGAGGATGAGGCTACAGCTTTCACGCCGCTGATGGCAACGCCCAGCAGTTTAACGATCCCCTGCTGCCATGTTCTCCACACGCATAACGTGCCGGCAAGGTATCCCGCATCTTGCTGGCCCGCCTCCTTCCCTTGCACTTTCCGCTTCCGCAGCGCGATGATCTCCGCCCTTAGCATGGCTGCAATGACAAAGTCGACAAAGTCTGGAAAAGTGGAGCTGTGCGATGTCACCCTCGGGCCAGCACATCCATTGTTCATCATTTCAGGGCGTTGTCTTCACCACGCCGCCGGCCAAAACGTAGCGTTTGCAATCATGTGGGAAGCGACGGCACGTGGGCCTCGAAATATCGCATATTATCCAAAGGCCTGAAACGACTTAGTCTTCATTGCGGTGGAGAAAAGGTCACGTAAAAAAGAATCGACTTAAACTTGCGGATCCAGTCGAATACCAGGACTGCCAGGTCTCGATGTTGAACCGATTCAGAGTCTTGTTCTATGTGCAAAGATCATTCAGGGGATCATGTTACAAGGGTATCGTAACAAATGACGCATGAGGCGTAGCTATGCCCCTGAGTCTCGAACCTTGCATCAAATTAGAATTAGTCACCGCGGTGTACAGCAACGCTAAACCTTTGCAACAAGCCAGAACAAGCCTTTTTTTGAACATCATTTCTGAGCCCTTCAGCCTTAAACCATTTGCAGCCATGACCCGGGCCCAGCTTGCTTTTGTTTAGACAGTGTGTTGCATCAGGCACTGGTTGAAATTCGAAACGTTTCAAATTCACTGAAACTTACGACTTACGCAATGGTTTCCTTCGAGCATTTCGAGGTAGATTCGGGACACAAATCCAAGATCATAAAATCGCATTAGGATCCATGTCAACGTACATAACATGCGCAGCCACGTCGCCTTGCTAACCCTGGCATAAGCAGTATACTCATCATATAGGAGTTTCCACTTGGCACAAATGTTTTGCCAAGTGCAGCTGGCAGGGTGACACCAGCCTGAGAAAAAAAACACGATAAAGATTTGCCGCCCCCCAGGTAGCCCAGGTAGCAGGTTGCAGTTTCAAGCTTTAGCAGCTCCCCAGGTTTTGCTCAAGGGGTGGAGATGTCTGGACCCTTCTTTTATGGTTTTCAACGCTGTGGCTCGAACCTTGGGCCAACACAATATTTGTCGTTTGATCTTTGACAAGAGGGCTATCAAATCTTCAATGAGTTGGGAGAAGCCCCCACGCAAGAATTGATTTCATCGCGGACTCTGTATCGACACGTCATCATCGGTCATGGTTGTTGTTGCTCTTGATCATCGCTGTTATTGCTTGTAATTTCGTCTCTAAGCCAAGCTAATCATATTGTAGAAAGAGGTCAGTTCCATGCGAAAAGGGTGTGATGATCCTTGAAGTGATTGCGCGTGCTGATTGTTGTTTGAAACAATTGGACGCCTGTTGACATGGAGTTTCGAACTTTGGTTGTTCACATTGTCAGGGGCAAAAAATTGGGGCTGCTCTGCTGCCTCAAGCCTTGTGCAAAATGCACAGGGTGTGCAGGTTGATGATGGCCTCAGTGCTGCTATACACCTCAACTTACACTGAATAGTGGTCGCTGGGCGGCATTTCAAAAACTCAATGCATTGCATTCTGCATGTCAGATCCCTGAGGAACCTTCTCATGGCATTCCAGAAGCTTTGGCGGCTGGATATGGACGTGCTTGGTGTGTGCGTTTGTATCACCGAGAAATTCATGCAAAACTGCCGAACGCGTTTTCACGATTTTTTGTGCTTCATTTGGCTATCAGGAATTCAAGGATGCGTGCTGTTGCTTGGAGCACGCACAGCTATGGAGGCCGTCGTGCTCCGGAATCCTTAGCATCCGTGCAAGTGCTTTCCCATTGGATAGCGCTCTAACAAGCGTATGTGCTCGCATCGTGCCCAGGGGTGCTGGAAGCGTGTGGCGACCTAAATGAAGGTGGCCACATCTGGGAAGGACATGGACGAGAAGGAAAAGCTGGTTTGCGATTCCTGCACACAGCTTCAAACTTATGGAGGGCCTGTTTCAGCAGTCTGTACGCTTCATGATGATTCAAGTAAGTTTCGATGTTTCGTGCCAAGTGCGGGAAGCGCGAATTCCACAAATTAAGCCATCAGCCTAGGGCCTCAGTTCCAGTTGGCAGTGTTCGCTGCTTGCTTGCCATATAGATTGCAAGAGAGCTATCTATCTATGTGTATGTATGTGCATGTAGTGGGGTGCTTTCAGGCCGGTTGGCCATTTGTCCGAGTTTGGCACTTCAAAGTGTCTTCAGCCCATTGGGCCCATGCTCCAATGTTGCAGCTGCGTTGCTTGAGCCCTGCATTGAGCAAGAATCATGAATAATTTGCTGAGACGAACGAACGAGCTCTTGCCAGTCGGGTTAATGAAAACAGCAGCAACGCGATCAAACTGCGTAGCAACATCGTGCTCCCCCTTTCGGTGAGTTGAGTTTTAGACAGCTTTGAATTTGCCTTGTACCAAACCACGATGTATGCTGACCTTGCGGCTGCCTAGTGATGTCCGCGTTCGCCACTCCCCAGTGGCTCGCTTGCAACAAACGCATGGTCTTTGCAGGGTCAATGGCCCAGCTGAAGCTCAAATTCAAAGACTGTTAAAAAAACGACTTCTCTATTCGACTCCCTGGCAGCTTATGAGGGTATTTTCGAGGCGCTTTGACGTGGCCTCGTAATTTTAGCTTCTAAGTAGCTTTGAGGAAGAGTCGCGTAAGGTATGGCGCTGAGGAACATCCCTGCAAGAGGGGTGGACGTGGACCTTCCCAGTGCCAGGCAAGGGGATCCACAGCAACAAAGGATCCACAGGAAAACTGTGCCCTTCTGGCCAGGCCTTCAGAGCCTTCGCCTGCGCGTGGCTTGATGGCAAGTCGGCAAGCTGTGTTTTTGGGTGGAACAGGGCGGATGGAAATGGATGTGGTGTGAAAAAGAGAGTTAACTCCTTCGGTTGCCCTTGAAGGTTACCAGCTCTCCTTGGTGTTCCTGGGCCTTTCGGGCTTAGCGCAGTGCGGGTGCCAAACTGTTGCG